AGAAGAGCATCCCAGCCAATAAAATAGAACATCAGCTAATTGCATGCGCTGAAAGAGGCAATCCAGGCCTGAGAATTCGAGGAGTAGCTCTCTTCATGGATAACAACACAGAGCGTTTCGGGCTAAGCTTTTGCTCAACAGTGGGCCGAAACTATGTCAAAATCTCTCCTGGTCTCGCAAGCTTACTAAACGGCAGTACCTTCAAAACGAGCATGAAGCGCAAAACATACGATGCGCTAATTGAGATAGAAGTCGCCAACCAACGATGTCGAATAGTAAGGTCGAAAAACAAAACGATCTTGCTGTTCACATGGAGCGAACAGAAAACTCCATTCGCCCAGGCATGCTCACTGCTAACGAGACTCGGTGAGGTAGAGACAGTGGACATACCTCGCATCATAAGTGTGGACGCCATGGTGGTCTTGTATGAGAAAGGTGAAGTCGTGGACCACATTGGTTGCATAAAAGCCTCAAATAAACATGAAATAGTCGTGTATGAGGATAGGGGCGAAAACCTGAGCTTCCTCAAACATCACGACTCGACTATGGCAACTCAACACCAAACAGCAAATCCAGAAACACTTAGTGGCTCAGAACGTCTGCAACTGAAAACGGCCCAAGAAAAGGCCGCAGCCAGAGAAAAAATTACAAAAAGTTCTGAGTCTCAAAGCGGGGTAAGTGCATTAATTAATACCATTAGTGCAGCGGCCCAAAGCATTCCAGGAAGAGCAATCCGAAAGTTAAAAAAGATAAGGCAAGCCGAAAACTTAATAAGAGAGCCTCCGAGAGTTCTCAAGAAATCCCAACCCACCTATACTAGACCCTGTTCGGGACGAGTCAGCCCGCCAAAGCTTCTACCGGCGATTGGGCCTAAGGACCACATAATCAACGCGTTCCTAGAGTTCAAAGCCCTCACAAAAGCAACTCTTGAAGTGAACCAAACGACTTGTAGGAACATCTTACAAAGTTTCCACCTCGGTAGTCAAGAGTTTCTTGAGGTGCAGCTCGAGGAGGCAGAGGCCGCAATTTATGACAACAAAACATCCACAGTCATAAGAGGTAAAATGGGTCATCACATGGCGGCTTATAGCGGGTCAGCGGGCTTTGTATCCTTGGAAGAGGAGGAGACGAAACGACAGGGTAGATTAGTATTCAAAACCCCCCCCAACGACCCTATTGTGGTCACCGCCCGTTGTACCAGGGTGATGCTAGAAGACAGGATCCTGAACATGGCGGATGCCATCTCGAGAACCTGTGAAACGGGAGATCCTTGGGAAAGCTGGACGGTGCCGACAATAAATTGGGTCAATGGGGTCCCGGGGTGTGGAAAAACGACTTGGATTATAAAACAATTCGATGCGGAATATGACTTGATTGTCACTACAACAACAGAAGCAGCTAAAGACCTCAGGGAAAAATTAAGCAACCGCATTGGCACCGACGCAAAAACAAAAGTGCGCACTATGGCCTCAATTCTAGTAAATGGCATGAGAAGGCAAAACAGAAGATGCACTCGACTTTTAGTCGACGAAGCTCTCATGAACCATTTCGGGGCCATAGTAATGGCAATGCGACTGAGTGGAGCGGAAAAAATACTGCTCATCGGTGACATCAATCAACTTCCGTATATCGACAGGGAAAACCTCTTTGCGATGCAATATACTCGCCCAAGCCTCGTGACCACAATCAGCCAAGAACTCCTGTGTACGCACCGGAATCCGATGGATGTGGCATATGCCCTGAGTGAAATTTACAATGGCATATATTCATCCAGATCTCAGGTGCATTCACTGGAAAGGAAAAGGTACACGGGAGTAGTCATTCCAGGTACCCTGCCAAATACATTATATCTTGTATACACGCAAGCAGAAAAGGAGTCCCTTACAAGCCAGGGATATGGTTCGGGTCCTGGGTCGCGAATTTTAACCGTACATGAGGCCCAAGGCCTCACATACGGGACAGTGGTCATAATGAGGACAACAACAGAGAAGCACAAAATTTATGACAGCGTCCAACACGCAGTAGTGGCAGTGTCCAGGCACACAGTATCCTGTGTATATTACACGGACGATTGCGACGATGCGACTGGACGGCTGATTGAAAGCGCGATGGCTGCGACAACAAACAGAATTAAAGAATACAACCTAAAAATGGCACTAAAAAGCAGAGACGCAGCTGTCGTAGAGGCCCTGACAACGGCGAATTGATATAGCTGAAGACGGAGCGGTCTCCACGACGACGGAATAATAATAATTAAAAAAAAATGTATATGGTAAGTTAAATAAAGCATGTTAGGAATTAGAACTCAAAACATAAACAAAAAAAAAAAAAAAAAAAAAAAAAAAAAAGTAAAAGAAAAAAAAAAAAAGACGCATGATATATAAAAAAAAAAAAAAAAAATCTATATATATATAAAAAAAAAAAACAAACAAAAGGAAAAAAAAATAAAAAAAAATTAATAATAATAAAAAAAAAAAAAAAAACGTGAACTCACTGCTTAGGCTTAAGTAAATTTACTATACTAGTAGTGTAAGGAGTACGATGTAAAATAAAAAAGTTAATAAAGAAATATAAAGCGAAAAAAGGTACGGACCTCGAGTCTGTAGTGTATACTTATTTATAATAAAAAAAAAAAAAAAAAAAAAACCTAACCTAACCTAACCTAACCTAACCTAACCTAACCTAACCTAACCTAACCTAACCTAACCTAACCTAACCTAACCTAACCTAACCTAACCTAACCTAACCTAACCTAACCTAACCTAACCTAACCTAACCTAACCTAACCTAACCTTTTTTTTTTTTTTTTTTTTTTTTTACATGGGGAAATGCCTACGCATACCCGCCTCGCGGGGGCAAGGACGGGTTATGTCGGACTCGCACCGACTAAAACCCCATGGTGTTCCACCCTCGTCGCATATTGGCAGGGCCACGGGAACGCTTTCGCACACTTCCGCGGCCCCACCTGCGCCGGCCACCCCATGGCGGCCCCTCCTCGGGAGAGGACCACTCCTCCCCCATCTCCTTCTCTGGTAAGGCGCACCAGAACACATGGCGCGCCCTCCTCCTCGGCCTCCAATTTCCAATGCGCAACAGACGCCCCCGAGTCCGATGCGCGAAGGCCATGGGGCCAGGAAAAACTAGCACTCAGAAGCACCGGCCTTCCTGGCCCCAGCGGCGGATCTGGTCTATGGCTCCGCCGCCAACCAAGATTCGGCTGCGGAGGGTAGGGAGAGCGGCGCCTCGCAATACCGACACTCCTCTCCCCCCGCAGCCCCACCACCACCGCATCATCAACGGTGCGGCCCCGTCAGAGTCGCGGAGGATAGGGCGAGTGGCGCATCGCCATACCAACACTCCTCTTCCTCCGCGACTCCACCTCGGCTGCAGCGGTAGAGGGTGCGGACTCCCCTCTCACCGCAGCCCCCCGACACACATCCGAAGTGGGCTCGCCAAGCCCACTCGGAGTGGCCACCTCGGGCCGGCCCTACACCACGGGCCAGCCAAGGGGTTCCTCTTTGTTCACCGTGGGTGACCAAGCCACGGCTACTAAGCCCCTCCGCCACGACAAGGCGGGAACCCGTTCGGGGGGGAACCTAACCTAACCTAACCTAACCCACTAACCACCGATCCGCCGTACCGTAAACATCGTTTTGAGAGAGCTCCGTGTTCAAAAATTCGTGAAAGTGGGTTATTTTTGTGCTATTGTGCTGTGTTATACACCAAAGTGTGCGGAAAAGTGCAAGCTTTGATCTGTGCGTATTGCTCGCAAGTACAGGATTTTGCCTGATTGGAAATTCGTGGAAAAACTCCGAAAACACCCAAAAACAGGTAAAATTTTTTTCACATATTTGCGAACGCTGCAAAAACAAGATCAGCAACCTGCCAACTTTTTTAGCGCATCACTTGGCACTCCATTAGCTACACATTTCGCAATTTGATCCGGATTTTTTCGCTGAAAAATCACGGAGTTATAGCGAGTTTTCTCAAAAACCACGTGGCACGTGGTTTGGGAAATAAACACGTGCGGCTAATTTTGAAACTGATTTTGGATGCGTTACAAAGGGGCCTTTTAGACGACACCTAATTTGTTTGGTTCGGTTCACCCTTTCGCTATTTATTTACGAAAAACTTCTTTTATTAAAAACTTGTTACATTTAACCTCCTATAACTGTCAAATTAAATCGACAATACATACTTTTTATTTTTGCTTTTCACAAAACATATTAAATCCTAACATTTCGGTAAATTTCAGATTTTTCTGTTGAAAAAATACAGAGATATTACACTTTTTATTAAATTATACCTACACGTGGTCCCACTTCTGGGCAAAATTCTCCCACTTTCTTTAAGTTATAATTAAGGTAATATTATTCTTATTTAAATACCGCTTTTTCAAAATTTTTATCTTAAACCGTCTAGAAATTATCAATTTTAAACCTAATTTTTACGAATTATTACTAAAATAATATAAAAATAAAAAAATAAATTATTAGAAAGGTGTAGGGGGTGAAAAGACCTTTCATACGAGCCCAATCTCGCTGGGTTTAGCGTTAGCGGTTTTCGAGATAGAGAAAAACGGTGTTCATGGACGCCATATTGGATAAATTTAAACCGTTGTAACATTGAAACCGTTTGTGCAAATATATGCGAGTCTGGGCTCATTGGAGTTGTCGTTCAGAGGGCTATTCAGTAAGCATCAGAAAGTCACTAACGAAAAATCAAAATTATTTTAGCGCCCAACCTTATTTATGAGATAGACCAGAGGTGTATGAGTCCGGCGAGCCCAAACACGGCTATTTTAAGCCAATAAACAACTTCGATAAACGATTTCAAAATATTGGTCGGCCATCTTGAAAATATTTGGAGAGCTGTAACTTCTACATCCTTTAAGATAGGATAGCCGTTCTTGGACTCATTCTCTTTGTCTTTCAGAGTCCTGCCTTCTTAAGGGGGAAAAAAAGGGGAAAAAGATTTATATAAAAAATAAAAAAAAAAAAATGTCGTCTAAGTCGGGCAAGACGTGTACTGAAGTGGCAAAATCCAAGTCCTCTAGATCTGGTAGAGGCATAAGCCCGGTATCTGCACCAACTTTGCGGAAAAAAGTGCTTTTACAGAATGCAGCCTCTTCGAAAAAACCCACTGAGGATATGGAGGACTATCAGAGGGCTATGTTGGGAGAACCTGGATGTAGTAATCAACCAGACTCGCATACTATAGCTATTACAAAGGAACCAATAGAGCAAGAGAACGCATCCTCAAATGATCCACAGGAACACGACAGTGTCTCGGAACAAAATAGCTCTGTTGCAAGAGACATGGAGGCAGAATTGGAATTGCTAGGAATTTGCAAGCGTGTACAACGCACTGACGATGAATGGTCAGATGTTGACAGCATCATCAGTGAAAACAGTAAGAGATCTAGTATTTTACCCCCCGCATATAAGCGGGCTGGCATTTCCATGGATCTTGCAACACAGCGGGCTAACGAATTTTTGCTCTCAGGGAAAGAGGCATTGGAGAAAGCGGGGAACATGAAACGGGAGTGCAAGCAGGAGGTACATGATTGCCTTCAAGGGCTATATGAAACAGTGCTCTCACTCTCAGACTCACGCTCCCGACATCGGCTTGCATTAGAGCAAGAACGCAGTCGAGCAGCAAAAGAGCTGGTTAGAGTTGAGAGAGCACATACCAAACAACTCGCAGAAATTCAATCCTCCTGTATGCAAAAGCTCAAAGACATCCAAGAACTTTTAAAAGACACGCAAAAATCTGCAGAAGCTATAAGGAGATGGCTCAATTATGAGATGGATGATCCTATTAAGACAATTTATCAGATACGGCAGGAAATAAACGAAAATTTTATCAGAGCGGTAAAAGACTCTTCTAACTGTCCCTCTGGTGACCGGCAAATATTTCCTGTAGAAGAGGTTACGATGATAGTGAACCAGAACAGGGATACGATCGAGTACATAAAATCCTTATGTCTCGAAGTTCAACACCTTAAAAACAGTTTGGAAAACCAGAAAACAGATGTGAAATGTATCACTCAGGCCATTGAGTCACTTAAAAACCCTCGATTAGACTCCATTGTTAGTGATACATGTGACATGAAAAATATTGTGCAGGAATTACAAGCACAAATTCAGAACACATCCCGACAGGAGATATCCACAGACAAATTCACAGTCGCCATAGAGCCTATCTCGCAAAAGATAGGAATATTAACGGATGAAATAAAAGAACTCAAGGAACATGGAGCAAGTCAGTGGGCATTTCAAAATAACTCTGGCCTAGGTACCGAGCTAGCAGTAGCAGAGATTAGAGAAAAACTTGACAACTTACAAGTATGCAACTGCAGTCCACTTAAGGAGGACAACGACCACAATAAATATAATCATGCGACCAAAGAACAGCAAATTGTCGGTCCAACAAGATCGTATGCCGAAGCTCTCATCAAACCTCGATTTGCTCTTCTTATTGAATCCTCCGACCCTAGGCACACAAGTGAAGATGTTGTCAGTACCATTAAAGACAATATTGACGTGGTGCAACTAGGAGTGGGAGTAAATAATGTCAGAAGAGTCAGAAATCAAAAGGTGGTCATTACGTGCAATACAGAAGAGGACCGAAGTAAGTTACAAAGTGCGATCAAAAATTCTGCCAAAAAACTCACAGTGTCAAAATCATCTACTAAAAACCCACTTATAAAGTTACTAGGAATATCGAACGATCTCAATAATAAAAAATTAGAGGAAGCACTCGTAAAGCAGAACGTGAAGCTATTCAAAGATATAGAAAAAGATGATATTAAGATTAAGGTCCTAAGAAGAATAAAAGGCCGCACAGCAGCAGTTAGTAACATAGTTATCGAAGTAAGCCCTTGGGTATGGAAGGCCCTTAAGGACCAAAAGGTGCATGTGGGCTACCAAATAGTCCCAGCTATAGATCAGTCACCTATAGTCCAGTGCTATCGATGCATGGGTTTCGGACATAGAGCAAACGAGTGTGCAGCTGATAAATCAACCTGTGGTTATTGCGCAGGCGAACATGACAGCAGACAATGTCCACGAAATAACGGAGCACCTTCATGTGCGAATTGCATTAAAAATAAAGTCAAGGGGGACCATAGTCACGCAGCATACAGTGCTGAATGCTTAGTATGGCAGAAATGGGACCGAATAGCGAGATCCTTAGTTGCATACTGCTAAAGTAGATCAGACAAATGACATCGAACAAACACAGATGAGCATAAACATTATAAATAATATGCCAGAAGACACGCAAACTGTAAAAATCGTGCAAGTTAATCTAGGACGAGGAATGGCGGCATATAAAGAATCTTTACAAATGGCCGTCAACCAAAAAATTACACTTCTCTTACTGCAAGAACCATATATTGGTTCAAAAGGGCATGTTACTTGTAATCGCCGCGTTATACAAAAAGTGAATAACATAATTGATAAACCGGTTAAATCGGCAGTCATCGTTGTTGATCCCACGTACTTAATTATAGAAAATCCAGAATACATAAGTGAAAATATAGTAGGCTTTATAATTAAAGTAGGAAACCATAGTATAGGAATACTTAATGTGTACTTGGAAAAAAATGGGGATCTAGATGAAGATATCAGAAACATTGTGAAAATTGCACAGAACATGGACACCGAGGACATCATCTTGGCAGGGGACTTCAATGCAAAGAGTCCTTGGTGGGGTAGCAGAGAGGAAGACAGGAGGGGATTACACTTATCGGAAATGATAGCAGAAATGGACATGAACATACTAAACCAAGGAAACGACCCTACATTCTATCAGTATCGAGCTGGAAAACTCTATAGCAGTCTGGTGGATGTAACCGCTTGTACATCTTCGTTACTACACAAGGTAGAGAAATGGAGAGTAGATCCAGACTTTGTTACACTTTCTGACCATCGAGCAATTCAATTCCAAATAAACATTATCATAGATAGACAGAAAACTTCCCCCAGAAAATCCACACGTTTATTTAACACCGCTAAGGCAAATTGGTCAATTTTTAGGGATGTTTTAAAAGAAGGGTTAGAAAATGACAAAATTACTGAAATAAAAGTTAATCTAATAAAAACAACAAATGATTTGGAAGACATATTAGACAAATACATCAAACAAGTCAGCATTGCTAGTAAACGGGCAATACCACCTATCTCTAAAAAGATTAACACAACCTGCACACCCTGGTGGACTAAGGAGTTAGAAGCTGAACGACGAGAATTAATAAGATTAAGAAGAAGAATAAGATTTGCGAACACTAGGCGTAAACCCTTCCTTATCCAAGAATTTACAGCAGCTAAAGAAAAATATGTGAGTAACATAATGTTTACAATTACTGAGAGCTGGAAGCAGCTATGTACAAAGCAGGAAAAAGAGACAATATGGCAGAGCATTTACAGAATTATTAGGAAATGCACAACAATAAGCGAAGACAAACTTTTGCGTTTAGGAGAAAAAACTCTAAATCCGAATGATTCAGCTATGCTACTAGCTAAAGTATTCTACCCTGAAGATGAAGTAAATAAGGACACTGAAGAACAAGGAAAAGTTCGTGATGAATCGAATGCAATTATTAAAGATCTAAGATATGACTCTATTAGTTTTCGGGAATTCACCGAAGAAGAAATAGAAATGGTACTACAAAGAATGAACCCTAAAAAGGCACCAGGAGAAGATGGTATAACATCAGACATCTGCTATGAGGCTTACAAAACTTCACCGTCAACGCTGAAGGCAATTTTCAACAAGTGTCTAGAATTAGGGCACTTCCCCGAGATCTGGAAAAAGGCTGTTATAAAAGTCATTCCAAAGCCGGGGAAAGATGATTATTCAGTACCTAAATCATACCGACCTATTGGATTACTACCGGTATTTGGGAAGATCTTAGAAAAATTGTTTGTAGGGAGACTTCTATGGCAGTTAGGAAGTGAAGATAAACTCAACAGTTTGCAATACGGATTCATGCCTCAGCGCAGTACAGAAGACGCTTTATATGATACAATGACGGTGATAAGACAGGGCATCAAAGAAAAAATGATCGTTGTAGTGGTATCTCTTGACATAGAAGGGGCATTTGATAATGCTTGGTGGCCCCAAATAATCAGAGAAATGAAAAGGAAAAAGGTTAGTCCAGAGATTCTAAGGTTAGTCACTAGTTACCTGTCATTTAGAAGCATTTTACTAAAGTATGCAGGAGCAGAAGTCACAAAATCAACCACCAAAGGCTGTATACAAGGGTCTACCTGTGGACCTATCCTCTGGAATATTCTTTTAGATCCCCTTCTCGAATCAATTTCAAAACTAAATGTCCGTATACAGGCGTATGCGGATGACATACTTGTTATTGCAAAAGGACATTCAGCTAATGCAGTAGAAGAAAAATTAAATCCAGCTTTAGAGCAAGTAATGGCATGGGGGAAAAAACACAAATTGAACTTCGCACCACATAAAACTCAAGCAATAGTAATCACAAAAAAGCTATCCTATGAAATTCCTATAATTAAAATGAATAATATCATTATCAAACCATCTTCGAGTCTGAAAGTACTTGGTGTTACTTTTGACACAAATTTAAATTTCGTAGAACATTTAGATGGAGTTCTCAGAAAGGCACTAAACATCTATAAAACCATATCGAGAACAGCAAGAGCCAACTGGGGTCTTAACTCAGAGATAGTCAAAACTATATATTTAGCTGTAGTGGAGCCAACTATTCTTCATGCGGCAAGTGTATGGGCCACGGTAGCGAAAAAAGAATACATGAGGAAAAGATTAGAACGTATAACAAGAATGTTTGCAATTAAGATCTGCAAAGGCCACAGGACAATCTCATTTACGTCTAGCGTGTTACTATCAGGAATCATCCCTCTTGACTTAAGAGCATTGGAACATCTTTCACTCTATGAAATCAAACGAGGAAAGCCACTAGCACAACTACCAGGAAGAACCGTAGAAAAACCAATAAGCCCATTCTGTTTACCCCATCCCGCTGAAAGAGAGCGTGTATCTTTCAAGATGGTAGTTACACAAGAAGAAGAAAACGCAATCGACGGCCTTAAGCCGAGAATATACACGGACGGCAGTAAGTTAGAAGACAAAGTAGGTGGCGCTGTCAGTGTGTGGAGAGAGGGTAAAGAAATACTCAAATCAACATTTAGGTTAGAAAGTTACTGTAGTGTTTATCAGGCTGAACTTACTGCTATTCTTAAAGCACTTGACATGATGTGCAAGATCAGTAAATTAAAGAAAGCAATAATACTAAGTGACTCACGATCAGCTTTAGAGTGCCTAACCGACAGCACGTCTCTCCAGCCTCTTGCAGTTGAAATACGAGAACGTTTAAGAGAGTTGAAAAATAAAGACGGGGATGTTGAGTTCTACTGGGTCAAAGCGCATATTGGTATACCCGGCAACGAAAGAGCTGATGAACTTGCAAAGAAGGCAGCACTGTCTAACAAACAAGCCGCAGTTTATGATAAGTGCCCTCTGTCCTTCGTGAAGCGACTCACCAGGGACTCTACCTGCATGGGGTGGCAACAACGATACAATGAAGCTACAACAGGAGCAGTCACGAAGATATTCTTTCCGGACATAAGACAAGCACACAGTACACTTAAAAACATTAAACTAGATAACGTTAAGACGCAATTGTTAACGGGTCATGGAGGTTTTAAGGCGTATTTATTCAAGTACAAATTAACGCAGTCCCCATCTTGTGCATGCAGTAGTGAAGTAGACGAAACAATTTTACACCTGTTAATAGATTGCCCGAGATTCGCTATGAAAAGATTGGAATGCGAGCAGAAGATGGGAATTGCAATTAAAGATACTACCCTAAAATACGCTATTAACAACGATGACTGTCGCACCCATTTCCTAAAATATGCAGAAATAGTCGTTCGTACTGCAGGAAAAGCAAATGGGTCCAAAATAGTATAGTTTTATAAGTTAAAAGTATATAAAACTAAAGCAATGGACAATTGCATTAAAATTGTATAAAGTAACTATATATAACTGTAAGCAACTGTAAGAAAAAAAAAAAATAAAAAAAAAAACAGAGTTATGTATGGCACATATAATAAAAATAATAAAAAAGGATTTTGCGAAAATAAGTTTGTAATACTGATAAGAAAAGTTGATATTTATAGTGAAACAAGTAAATGTATCTTAGTATGCATTCCAAATAGTATAAACAAATTTTGTATGAAACAAACTTATAATAATATCTTTGTAAAGTAGGAATAAGACAGAAAAAAAATTAGATAATAAAAAAAAAAGGAAAAAAAAAAAAAAAAAAATTAAAAAAAAAAAAGAGAATAAATAAAAAAAAAAATAAAAAAAAAGGGATAAAGATAAAATGAACAGGAAAAAACTAAAGTAATCACGGGTGCTGCATATATAGCAGCAGTAGAACAGTAAAAAAAAAAAAAAAAAAAAAAAAAAAAAAAAAAAAAAAAAAAAAAAAAAAACCTAACCTAACCTAACCTAACCTAACCTAACCTAACCTAACCTAACCTAACCTAACCTAACCTAACCTACCTACCTACCTACCTACCTACCTACCTACCTACCTACCTAGCTACCTACCTAGCTACCTACCTAGCTACCTACCTACCTACCTACCTACCTACCTACCTACCTACCTACCTACCTACCTACCTACCTACCTACCTACCTACCTACCTACCTACCTACCTACCTACCTACCTACCTACCTACCTACCTACCTACCTACCTACCTACCTACCTACCTACCTACCTACCTACCTACCTACCTACCTACCTACCTACCTACCTACCTACCTACCTACCTATCTACCTACCTACCTACCTACCTACCTACCTACCTACCTACCTACCTACCTACCTACCTACCTACCTACCTACCTACCTACCTACCTACCTACCTACCTACCTACCTACCTACCTACCTACCTACCTACCTACCTACCTACCTACCTACCTACCTACCTACCTACCTACCTACCTACCTACCTACCTACCTACCTACTGTAATGAGTATGCGAATTTATTTACGCTAGCTTGCAAAAACATTGTCCTTAATGTCTTAATATACATCATTTATAATTTTATAGGGATTTTTAATATTATTTTAATAATTCTTTTATTGAGACTAATCCAGCCCGTTATTCTGTTTTAATTTTTTTTATAAGATAGG